AGAAATCGATGTACATGTCGCGGCGTGTCAAGAGAAACGCCGATACTCCGGCTGCTATAAACAAATCGGGGAGACCTATGATGATGCTCCAACAAAGGGACAAAGAAATTGTCGATGATACATAATGGGTCATGGGGTGTGCAGGATCACAGTAGATGGAAGTCTAATGTGAGAGAAAAAAATAGTTGACGGTAAAAACGGATAATGTGTTAAATATAGAAAATGTGTTTAATATGGATGAGGAAGACTTTGTGAATATAGTGGACGAAGTGTTTGGAAATGAAGAAGAAATGGAGATTGACAATATTGACAATATTGACATTGATATTGAAGACGAAGAGCACACATTGTCTGATAGCAATTACGTAAATGATCAAAGTGATCTTACGAATTACGCAGAAAAAATTGTTACCCGTTCGGAACTCCTTGCGTTGAATAATAATAAAAAAAGTATTGTTCAATACAATTTTATTATTCAACAGGTGGTGCACTAACTCTATGTGCCGAATGCATGGTTCGTCTGGCGGACATTAACATTGGAGTATTGTATGTTAAGAAGCACGAGATAGATACTCTCAATGCGCTAAACAGCCGATTTTGCTTCAATTGCCAACAGTGTGATAATGCCATGCAACATGTGCCCAATTTGCACAAATTGAAAAAAGACAACATTGTGAACGAGTCATATGCAAGTGTTCCGTGGAAGAGTGTGATGTGAATAAAAAAAACAATATGGAAAGGTCATTGGAAGAATTAACAAGTTCTCCGTTATGGGACTCAATCTCTCATCTACCAGTAAACGTGGCGGTGTATTTTATAAAGAGACACTATATCCCAACTCCCCATTTCCCGATTCCTCGTCCAAGAGTTAAGGGACGCTACAATTCGACTCTCTGCTCCTTCTGAGAGAGCGGAAATAATTCTGGAGGCGTGCATATATTATCATTATAGAGGATACGCATACAATATATTACTACCCCTCTCGCGGCAAAAAATAGCAGAGATAATTCCAAGAAGCGAG